CAGCATGCCATCGAATCAATTCTTATGGCAACCCTTTGCAGGGTTTTAATGGTAAAGAATACTCAGAAATGGTTTACCATTTCCTTCTTATAGTTCTAGGACTATGCAGTTTGTCCCTGGCTATCCAGGTTGGCTCTTCCCCTAAGAGGCAGAGTGGGGAATTGAACATCCAACCTCTGGCTCCACAAACAGATACTTAAACCATTAAACTATCTAGCCAGCTAACTGTTTTATATCCCTAAGATATTACAGAAAAATTTGTTATTAATACATGTAATGTGTTAAGAAGCTTTGATCTCTCTTGAGGAACTTGTTTATGTAGCCACACACAGAGACAACAAAGAGAATCCAGTTTCAAGATATTTGAACCTCCTAGGACATTCTGTTAAGGATCTCAAAGTGTCTGTTGTAGAAAAACAGAATTACAAAGGGAAACTCAAGAGGGAGAAAGCAGAAATGAGCTATATAAACACAAAACTGTTAATCTTTAAAAAGCTATCATATCTGGTCTTTCTTTTTCTTTTCTTTTGTCCACATGTCTGAAGTGTATTCTTTGGATACAGAGCAGGTTTTGATTGAGAAGAATGAAAAAAAAAATAAATGACTTAAATGAATAAATTTCCCTCAGATAGCTTCAGATTTTGGGGAGTTGCTCAGACTACAGTTTTCTTCTTGTCTCCATCCCTGACATGGAGCCTTGTGCGAAGCATGGACTCCCAGAACATCAAGCACCAATCTTCCTACAGGGTTAGAGAGAGAGGTTGAAGAATTTGATGTGCTGTTGCTCTGAACCACAATCAACACTTACTTTCTACTACAACCGTGACCAACTTGGCCACAGTTCCATGACTGTTGGTAGCATTACACCAGAAGGTTCCATTTTCAACTGGAATCTCTTGTCTTTGGCTAAAGTGGTCCAATCTGCCATCCTTGGTGCATACAACATCTGGAGGTGGAAGCCCCTCAGCTTTACAGGCAAAGGTGGATGATGCCTCTTCCACCAAGGTCCAGAGACTTGGACAGCTAGAGTCATTCATTTCTGGTTTATCTGAAATATCAAAGGGGGGGGGATGACATTTTGTTACGAATTAGGTCAGCACTTGGCAAAATGTGGTCCTCAGAGATGCTGACCAAGGGGTTCTGCAACAGAAAGAACAAACAAGGTGGGCTGCTTGTCCTTTCTTTGTCCCTAATGCAGCAGCAGAGAAGTGCAGGAGTTCTCTTTAAGGACAACACTTAATTCAAGCAAGAGCAACCATGTGGGTTGAGAGGTTTGGCAACCACCCCTTAGTAGCCAAGTACATGTCTTATACAGCACCTCCCAAATCCCCCTACAGAGTGCAGAAGCTGAAAGATTTCCCTAGGCTTAGAGGTTTAGAACTACCGGGATAGCAATACAGTCTACACATTAAAGCCACCTGTTTATTAAGTAGAGCTTGGAGGTAGCACATTAAGAAGTAACACTGTTACCATCATTCACTGCTTTTTAAAAGTAGTAAAACGATCCATTAATTTTTCTCCCCAGGATGAACACTGTTGTCATTACTTTACCTCTGAGTGCTTATCTTTAATTTAAGGATGCTACCAGTAGGGGTGGAGTGGGCGGTTCTGCTGTTTTGCTCTTGAAAATAAAGACCCTAAACTTTCTTTTTTCCTTCTCTGACAACTACAGAGTCCAGGAGTGGTCAAGAGTACCTCCTCGTACGTCCTGGAGGAAGTGGCCAGGGCACCCTGTCATTCTGTTCATAGGAGGTTCTAAGCTGGAGTGGACAGAATGCGGCCCTGTGCCATATGCAGCCACCAAAGCCTCCACAGAGGCCCTAATGGGTGAAAATATCTTTTAGAAAACAAATGACACATGAATCATGTTTTTTTCTGAAGGCTTCTCAGAGCAGCTGTTTCTACCAACAAATCCAAGCCAAACCAAACTGAGGGAACTGTCACAGTTTTTCAAAAGCCAAGAAGAGGATATTGAGGAACATCCAACTTTTACTGTTGAAAACATTTGATCATGTGCTTGGGAAAGCTGCTGTGTGTTGTCTCAGGTGATGGGGGCCAAAATGTGTGTCCCAGTCAATTTTCCCTCTAATTTCCCAACAGCACCGAGCAGAAACCCCTCATGGTATGTGCAAAGTTCTAGCCATGACCAGAACCAAATGAGAAGCAACACTCATTATGGGTGCGTGGCACCAATAGAGCACTGCGCAGCCGTGCACCCACACAGAGGGAATGTTGGTCCCAGTTTTAACCAAATTGCCCATCCCTCTGCTTCAGTCACTCCAAGACACAGAGCCATAACTATAAATTTCTTTGGGGGACGCAGGTCTGTCCCAAAATGTTACTGCCGCTGCCACCATCTTCTTTTCCTTCTTGGGAGACTGGTTTGGGGTGCCACACAACATCATTTTGTAGAGTTGCTGCATCTAAATTTAAAATAGCCATCGTGCCATCTAGGCTTAAGACTAAGTAGGATAAAAAGGAAAATAATGGTCTAGATCAGTGGTTCCTAACCTTGGGTCTTCAGATGTTCTTGGGCTACAACTCCCTGAAATCATGGCCAGCACAGCTAGTGGAGAAGGCTTCTGGGATCTTCAGTCCAAGAACCCAAGGTTGGCAACCACTGGCCTAGATAGCCGAACGCATAAGACCACTTCCTACGACACTGTAAGATTCCCAGTTCTACTCACACTCCACTTGGATGCTCACAGTCCTGGTACTGGAGCCGTGCCTGTTTGTGGCTGTGCAGAGATATGGTCCGGCATATTTTCTGGTGACAGTGTGAAGAATCCCAGGGCTGCTATAAGAGATGTTGTCTTTGGTGCACTCAACAGTTGGCGCTGGGTTTCCCCAGGCAAAGCAAGCGAACATCTGCTCTGCTCCTACTGTCCACGTCCAGTTATAAGGGCAGCTGGAATCATCCATGTCAGGTTTGTCTAGAACAGAAACAACATTAGACTTTACAATGACAAGGTGAAGGGGGGGGAATCTTCCTCCCCATGACTCATACACTCATCCAAGAGCTGCAGCAGTGAGCAAGACTACTTAGCAATTTTCACTGAAGATATGTATTTCCAAACACCTCCACCCTCTGATGCAAAAGAAGAAACAAACAAAAAACAAAGAAAAACAAACAAACCATTTCCTATATTTTCTCTTGGGAAGAAGCTGAATTGGTTTTCGATGCTCATTTCCTATATTTTCTCCTGGGAAGAAGCTGAATTGGTTTTCGATGCTCCGTGCATTGGCTGCAGGTTTTGTGGCGAGCTGCATGCCTTCAAGGCTGACAGAATTAAAGGAGATGCACATGTCCAGCTGCAAGGACATGGTCTGCCTCCACATTCGTCACTATCCACCCATACATCCTGCAGGTCAGTAGTAAGACACACTTACATTCCACTTGGACTGTGACCATCTTGCTCCTGGACCCATTTGCATTGCTGGCATTGCAAAGGTAGACCCCAGCATGGCTTTGTGTGACATTTTGCATCCTCCTGGTGTCCCACACTTTGCCATCTTTCATACAGGAGACGTCTGGGATTGGGAAGCCTTCAGCTTGGCAACTGAGCTTCTGAAGGGTCTGTTCCAGCCATGTTTGGTTACTTGGGCAGCCAGCTTCATCCAGCTCAGGTCCATCTGCAACAGAAGAGGGCATGGTCAACGTATTTAGCAGTAACTGGGAAACATTCACACAGCTTTTGCCACAAGACATTTTGGGCGATTCCATGTTGGTGAGAATGAAGGATGTCACACGACTTCAGACTTGATCAAGAGGGAATCCTTGGAGGAGGACAGGTGGTACAGAAGCAGGACACTGTTTAAGAAGCCATAGGAGGAGGAGCTCATAATGAGTGCAGGAGAGTTAATTTGAAGCCAAGAGCTGGTAAAGCTTCAGTAAGGGTTAAATTACTGACTACAATGAATTCAGACTCTACAGCAAAATATTCTTTATTCTAAGGAACAACTGGCTGTATTAAGCACATGCATGGGTGAGGTTTAAAACCTGTGTGCATGAGCAATCACTAGAAGAGCCTGGAAACCATTGAGGACTGTTCTTTTGCTTCAGCCCTTCCTTGTGAGATTTTTGTGCTGATGATCTCCTCTGAAATCAATTAAAGGCAGAAATTTCCAAGAGAGTTTTTTAAAAAAAAAAACTGTGTGGAGAAGGAAAATTTAGCTGGGAAGAAACTGGATTGAGGTTTAAAGCCCCTCTACTGCAGGCAGACATTTCCAAGAGAGTTTTTTTAAAAACCTCTGTGTGGAGAAGGAAAATCTAGCCGGGAAGAAGCTGGATTGAGGTTTAAAGCCCCTCTACTGCTAAACAATGGGGGCCATTGATTGAGATCAGTCTCTACACACTTATTTCACAGTAGAAAGAAAACAAATTCAGCTTAGGATGTAGCAACTCTGTCCTTTCAGATGTTGTTGGACTGACATTCTCACCAGCTCTGTCCAGTATAGTCAATGGTGAGGAATGCTAAGAGTTGCCATCCCATAAAAACTGGAAGGCTGCAGATGGCGAGCCCTGAGTTAGCTGGCATTTAATAAGTGTATGGTTTAACCTCAAAGCCAGGACCCTGCAGGGCTCCTTGATTACAGAAGGGCAATCACACAACCACTGCTAGGTCTTTTAGTGGCTGTCTGCCACATGCCCAGCCATGCCCCAGTGAAGTAACAGATTAGATAACTGGGCACACGCCTGGGCATGTCCTGGGTAGCTGGCAAACAAGGTGCTTGATTGGCGCTTTTAAAGCTGCTTCTCCACTCTGTCTTCTGGGCTTCTGTCTGAGGTCAGGGTGTAACAGACTGGAATCTGACATGTCTCATTCTTTGCTTAGGGCCATGATCTCAGGGTAACATCAGGTTAATAAGCAGTGGGTCCATTCTTGCCTGCCTCATTTATAACGATATGGTGGCGTCACTTACATTCCACATAGATGGCAACTGTTCTAGAACTGGACCCGAACTTGTTCACGGCAGTGCAATTATAGATGCCAGCAAGGCTCCGGGTCACTTGCTCCTCCTTTTCCAGATCACGATGAGGCACACCTTCTTTGCTGCAGGTCATGGTTGGCTTGGGGTTCCCCTTAGCGACGCACCAGAGTGCTTGCCGTGTTCCCTCGACCCACGTATGGTTGCTGGGGCAAACAGAGTCGTCCATTTCTGGCACATCTGCAATGCGCAGAGGGAACACACACATTGATTGAGGCTCTTCTGTCTTTGGGTGAGAAATAAAGGGGGAGGTTTAATGTCGGACAGTGTTGGTCAGGAAGAGTGGGGTGTGGGTGTGACTGGGCAGGTTGCTGCTTAAGACCTGTTGACATAGAGATGGATGCACAAGGTTCTTTTAGGAAGAGGTGGGCAGCAGGCTCTGAGCATCATTATAAGGTGTTAAATTCCCAGCCTTGCTAAAATAGCTTTGGCTCACTTTTTTTTTTAACTGGCTGTTTCTCCTGTAAGACACCTTGAGTGTTTTAGTGAGAAAGTGAGGTACAAATATTTCTAATCAATAACTTATCAAACAAAATAATAGATTGATATTTCCTGCTCTATAACTGTGAATTCAGAGCTACTCTCTTGCAAAGCAAGGATAACTTCCGATATTTTTTTTGATCAACCCTTTATTTTGCTCCTCAGCTTATTCTTGGACAATTTGATTATAGGGCAAGTTCTGAATCTCATCCAGTTCTGAATGCCAGGAATAGCTGTGATATTTTTCACAGCAGGCACGAGTTGATCTCAGCCTTTTGTAGCCTGTACTTTAAAAACCAAACTCTCACTGGTTCATAAATGTGCTTTAAATGTAGGAAGCTTAAAATCTATGTAGTGCACACACAGAGTTTAGAGCACTGCTAACTGCAACTGAAAAAAATAAAACTCACTTCATCAATGGACCAACAAACAGATAAACAGTTAACTTAAGACATAGCTAGTTAAGCCACAGCTTATCTGTAGAAAGGGATCCCAATCACATACTCCACCTGAGCAGAACTCGAATCTCACGAGCAGAGGGAATGGCAATCAGGTCATTCATTGTCAAACAACTTGGGAGGGAAATCTCACAGTGTGTGGAGCCATTCTCCTTTGGGCTAAGACATGTGGCATCTTTCCCCACCAATTTTATTTATAAAGAGATCTTTATCGTTGTGACATAGAATGTGATAAGTACTCAAAAAATTGACAGGTACTAAATAAATTTCAAAAGGCTTCTTAACAATGGCCCACAAACTGGAAATGTTCTATATATATACACACACTCTTGTAGTGACTGCAACCTATATATAAAGGTTGCAGTCACTACAAGACTACTGCATTCAATTCCCATTCATGCAAGTGATTCTAGAATATAGATGGAGCACGAAATGCCAGATTTTGAAGTTAGTTTCAAAAGGAAGAGGCACTAAAAGTCTTATGGGCTACTGGAACAACCCAAGATTTTCTTTCCCCACACTGTATTATTGGCAGAAAACAGCAATGAGTTGAAATGACTACCGATAAGGAATAAAAAAAGGAAGTTTTAAAAAAAAGGATTACAGTTGAGATTAAGAAAACAACATTAATGAATAGAGATGGACATGAACCGGTATGTGCCCAGTCTGTCCCAGTTCATACAGACAGCAGCCCAGGTGGTGCTGCTCCCCTGTCTGATTGATCTGGCTCAATCAGTCAGTGTTATTATGTTTCTGGTTCCTATAGTCATTAAGGGGAACCACGGGTCCCCACAGACCTGATGGGGCTGCAGCATCCCAGGTTAACATGGGTGGAAGAGATCCCTCCCTTCTCAGTGCCCTGCTGGGGGAAGTAATTTCAAGGCAGAAGGAAGATGAAGGGATAGGGTGGCCGGGTGGCCTTCTTTACAGCTGACAGTCCTCCATTGGAAAGGCAGCCCAAAGATTTTTTTCAAAGGTGTCCTCCACTTGAAGTCCTGTTCAGTTCAAGACCAATTTAAAGGTAAAGAACCACAAGGGAAGAGAACAAACTCTGCAGGCATGTAGGTGATCCGGCCACAGTCTCCCCTGATTTTGTTTAGAACATTAAATCAAATTCTGATTTTGCTCCTATATGTATAAATCAGAGTACATGATTTTATGCGAATCAGTATCCGCTTTTCTCCTTGGTTTTGGGGGGAAATTATGCCTTCCTTTTTCAGGTTGCATGTCTTATTTATGTACAGAAGGGGGCTGTGGATGGGAGAAGCATTTAGCACCTGCCACTCATGCACTCCTTTTGTCCTAAAAATCAGATCTGTCCTTCCTTCTGCATAGACATCCATCTGTGGTCGGGTGTCTGCCAAAGGGTGTCTGCAGAAATAATTCTGGATGAAGGAAAAGTCTATGAATGATGAAACCTATGGATTGTTGACCTGACTGAAGTTTTTGTCTATGTGCAGTAGATCTAAAAAAGTACCAAGTTTGGGATTCTGGAAGGTGGGGGCAAACACCTCACCTTGCTCCTCTGCACACAATCATACCCACTACTACAACTTTCACATGAAAATATCTAGTGTGATCCTGAACTATCTTCTTCCTTTAAATCCAAACACATGAACAATCCCTAGCCCACATCTCTCTCTCTGTGACTGTATCCAGTAGATACTGATATGCGTCCATGGGTGTCTGTGAGTTGGGGCATACACTCCAAAAATCCCCACATTTTTCATTGATAATTTTAACATACATAAACATACACATCATGTTGCAGTGATGCATGCCTATTAGGAGCATCTACAGCAATGCAGCTTTGACTCTCCCCCACCATAGAAAATCCAGTGGATGTTTTTGGGTGGGTTACCGAATGACCGCCCTTGCTTCTCCTTCAGTTGCTTCCAGTGTGCTTCCCTTTCTCTGCTCCTAAGACAAAAACTGGACTGGGGGATGGGTGGGGCCCTCTCCCACCCATTTCTTCTCTCCAGTCCCCACTGGTGCTAATTCCAGGACTTCTCAGCACAGCTGCAGTGCGTCTTCCTCAGACACCAAGCTGTGAATGAATCAGTCTGCTATCCCCCCTTCCTTCACTTCCTGGGGGCTCTTCCATTCTGCTTCTGACAGGAGAAGCAGTTGTGTTGGACGTAGCAGGATTTTTGCCTTTACAGAGACCTGAAAGCATCGGCTGGACCCAGAGAATGAACTGCTGATAAAAGCAGGCAAGGAAGCTGGGGACCACGGTGAGGTGGGGGTGGTAGAAGGAGGGCCACCGATATCGTAAAGGTTTAGGAGGGCTGGGGATCGGGATGTCAATTTTGTCTTGGGGCCTGACCCCACAAGCCACTCAGGCTGTTTCAGTGAAGCAGAGAAGCAAACGGGCCATTGCCAGTTCCCTTGCAACATCACAGAACATTGAGTGAGACGGGATGCACTTCTCAGCTGCTTGGAATGACCAGAAAAGTTACGTTTTGGGGGCTACAGCTCTTAGAATCTGGGAGCCGAAGTCTTTTTTTCCAAGCTAGGGAGGTGACAAAATCCTTTGGGTTGACCTTGATTTCAGGGAGGAGTGGAGGTGTGCAAAGACCTGATCTCCCATGGAGCTGTAAAGGTAGACACTATGCCATATAGCAGTGAGCAACCTCTTCTCCTTGAACTTGATCCTGCACAGTCATGCTCCTCTGATCCACCGGGGGGGGGGGAATCTCTGCTCTGCGGATTGTACTCCCACCTCACAGAGCTCTTCCCTGTCACTTTCCGCAGAAGTGGTGAGAATTCAGATTTGTTTCCATCACCACCCATGCTTTGTTGCTGCCAGGTTACAGAGTCTGACCCGAAGTGCCAGAATTTAGCCTCTTTGACAGAGAACTTCTTGAAAGGGGGTCCATTATCAGTCAGGGCTGGCCCAAGACACTTTGCTACCTGAAGCTAAAGGCAAGATGATGTTCATTCCACTTATAGATCCCCTGTTCTAATTCTGGTAGCAAGACTGTGTTTGCAACATTCCTGAAGGCAGTAGGCAGCACATATCAGGAACCAGAACAGGCTGTATGGCATATACAACGCTGTCCTCCAAGAAGTGGGACTGGTTGAGAGGCTCAAAAGAAGAACCAGCGGACTGCTATCCACCCCTGTCCTCTGCCACTTGAGGCAATTGCTCCACTCTGTCTAATGGAAAAGCCAGCTCAAATCAGAACAGATGAGCTGCTGCCTAGCTTGATAGGACCTTCAACTATTCACTCTGCCTTCCCCAGCAACACCCCTCGCCCAATCAGGATCCATCCTAAATCCTCAAGTGCCTCTAGATTCCGCCTCTTTCCTGCCAAGCTCCACCTCCTTCCACAAACCATCCCTCAGCACCCAGGCCATGCTGGAGCTTCAAAACATAAGGCCGATATCTGGCCAGCCTCTGAACAGAGGAAAGCCCAGAAGGGATGACTATGTAGACCAGGGTGGATGGTTTCCAGAATTCTAGGGACATGACCATCCCTGGACCATAGACAGATACTCATTTGTAACCTCCAATGCAAAAACATTTTCCCCACAAAAATATTGTTATTAACTGTAAAGGTTTCCTTAGACCCTCTGGTTAGGCATCCTTCAGTCTCGAAACTTAACTGTAAAGGTTTCCTTAGACCCTCTACTGGCCAAGCTTCAAAACAAAATATACATTGAAGATGTGGAGAGCCCCAAGGGTAGTGGGTAGCTCTCAAAACATGCCATGAGCACCCCCACATCCCACATAAGACACCAGGAGACTTCTTGAGACCATTTTTGTCAGTCTTTTAAACATGATGTGGCAGGGAGTTCTGAAAGCTCCTAGAGTCCACAATTGGGCCCCCTGGGGGGCATATGTGCCAAGTTACAAAAAAACATTGAAGATGTGGAGAACCCTAAGGGTAGTGGGTAGCTCTCAAAACATGTCATGAGCACCCCCACATCCCACATAAGACACCAGGAGACTTCTTGAGACCATTTTTGTCAGTCTTTTAAACATGATGTGGCAGGGAGTTCTGAAGGCTCCTAGAATCCATATTTAGGTCCCCGGTGGGCATATGCAGCTGAAGCACACCTTTTGAGCCATCACTGTTGTAGACTCTCCCTAATAAAAGCCAAGCAAGCCAAACATGGGAAAATGTACACAGAGCAGAAATGGGAAACATAGCCATACTTTCAGAGGTGTTCTGGGATTCAATTGGATTCTGAATGTGTAGTCCCCCCCCCCAAAGCAAGGTTTTCCATTTCATTTCCCAAAGTTGCCCAGTTCACATCATCAGTAGGTTTCCCAGTTTAGCAGTCCTTTCGGACAGTGCTTCCCAACCTTGGGTAACCCAGGTGTTCTTGGACTAAAACTCCCAGAAGCCTTCACCACCAGCTGTGCTGCGCAGGGTTTCTGGGGGCTGTAGTACAAGAACATCTGGGTTACCCATGGTTAGGAACCACTGCAGTTTATGAGACAATTTAAGAGAGTTTAGGATGACCAGAAGCCTTCCAGCTGTGCTGCGCAGGGTTTCTGGGGGCTGTAGTACAAGAACATCTGGGTTACCCATGGTTAGGAACCACTGCAGTTTATGAGACAATTTAAGAGAGTTTAGGATGACATTCTGATGTGCTGCAGATTATCTTCAGGATCTTAATCTCGTTCACATAATCGTTTTTAAAAAATGCATCTTGGGAATCGATCCCAGAATGGTATTGGTATTTTTGTTCCCTAATGGCTGGCTTTATAAGATTTTATCATGCTATATTAAAGGACTTGGTGCCGGGAGGGGGGAATAATATGCACATCTCTAATGGAAAATGAGCAAATTCCATGCTGTTACTGGAAGGGAACCTGCATACTCACAGAAGACAGTCAGATTGGCAGACGATTGCTTGATGATCACATCTTCCCCAATTGCCATTTCCACTTGACATACAAATTCCCTCCCATCATATTCCTCCAGAGCTGTCAGAGTGAGCTTTAGAGGGGGTCGGTCACTGGAGGCCAAGACCTTCCCAGAATTGTTTTTTATTTGAAGAGAAACGCTGAGTGGCAGAGTAGCTGAAGAATCACATATAACGGTCACAGGATTATTTGCAAGGGTCTGTGATGGATAGATCACCAGAGAAGGCTCGGGAAAACCTGCAATTATCATAAGGAAGAAGGTTATTCCTTTAATCACTCAAAAAATTGCATGTGTGTCTACTGGGAAAGCACGGGAATTGATAATCCTATTCTGAAAAGAAAGGGTTAGGTTCAAACTCGGCAGAGTGACTTAAATGACGTATAACTTGAAAAAGGGTGAGTGCTCTACCTAGACGTTTTGGGGTATGGTGCTCTTCTTGTTCAGACTATGAGTTGCCCTGACATGGTGGTAAGAAAAATGACAACAACAACAACAACAACAAAGTTCCTATTTATTTCTGTATACCCCCTCCTGCTGATCTCATCTAGACCTTGTAAAGGCTACTGTTTGGACTACAGTTCCCAGAATTCCCCAGCTAGTGGATGTAGTGGCTTGGGGAATTTGGGGAGCTGTCATCCAAAAATGTGACCTTCACCCAAGATCTTAGGTGATCTCATGTTGTGGTATTGTCAAGGCCAGATTTAGATAATTTGCTATATGGGGCAAAAGACAATATTACTTCTCTCCCTTCCAAGTACAGAAGCTGATTGTACCAGCAGTTTTAATCTTACAAAAATTAGTAATATGATAGTATTTTGCACTACAAGTGAGCAACAGGTTAATAAATTTTAGGAAACTGTGGAACGGCCAAGTAGCGTTCATACCTCCAGCAAAAGATATGGGCTGGGGCGATTTGAAAGGAACCACTTGGGGGTGTTGCTGCTGCGACTCCATGGACCTGCCGCCTGAGAGAATCAGTTTACTTTGCCTAATGGTAGGACTGGCTCTAAACATCATAACATCCTGCATTTCTGATCCTGATTTCATGTCATGGGCTAACAAGCTTCTCAGAGATAGAGAGAAACATGGGATACTGTAACACTATAATGTGACGTACGTTCTGTTATTGGGTGTTAAACTTCTGAAAACCTCACACATGGCACTTTTTTTTGCATCAGAAATACAAAATCTGATCCACTGAGAGGTCCCAAACCAGCATACTATCAGGATAAAATTGGAAGAGGAACAGATTAATAATAGGGATCAAGGGGAAAAGGCAGATCAGAAAGTAATAATAATAATAAAAAATTCCAGGTATGAAAACTTGGTCCAGGGTCTGTTGTAGTAGTTTGGAGATGGGTTTTAATCAAAACAACTAATTCTGATTAAGCAATATTATAGCTGGTGTTAGGGGTGGGTGAGCTGGATAGTTTCCCAGGGTGCTCAGTTGTGTTGAAGGGAGTGCCAGGATACACCAAAGGGGCATTTTCTATTAATTAATCTATTAATTAATAGGAAAAATGTACTGTCTGATGAAAGCTAGATTGGCAAACAGCAAGTGCCTGTAACCTCTTTTTTTCAAGCTTCTAGGGTAGCTTTGGTCATACCATTTGCACCATTTTAAAAAAAATCAATGGAAAGTAGCTTTGAACCCACATGGGTACAGGATCATAAACACTCTGGATGGTCCCGCACAGCTGGCCGCAAGGGAGGTAGCCAAAGCAGGAGGCTATCCATCCTACACCTGGCTCTGATTACAAATGACATTTATAAGACATGCCCTGCTTTCATTTCAAACACAGTTTGTTACGAGGCATAAGGGACCCACGACTGGAGAAACACGCACAAACACATTGATAAACTCTGGTATGTGGAAAGAGCTACGTGGGCCTTTGGATTCCTGCTCAGTGGCTTCTAACGAGACAGTTGGCTCCACCAACAGTGGGACGCAGTGGCATAGCATCAGGGAGAGGGGGGCAGCACAAGGATAATTGCTCTAGGCACAGGTGTCTTAAGGGATGCTATGCCACTGCCTTGGAAGACTGCACTGCCATTGCTGCCAAGCCTGTCCTCATCCTCTCCCCTCCCCGGTTCCCCTCAGCATGTTTCCCTGCCTGACGGCAAAAGCGATGGCATCCACGGCCATGGGTGTGAAGAAGCAACCAAGCTGGAGCTATGGATGGAGGCGATGGGATGGCTAGAAGGTGGTGGGAGGGAGCAGGGAGCAAGTCTGATCTGGAGGAGGAGGTCAAAGAGGAAAATGAGCCCCTCCATTGAGATGCGGTGCTGGTTCCCTCCCTCCCGCTCAGCCACAGACACACAGAGCCGCCAGAGAGACACTGAGAGAGAGAGAGAGAGAGAGAGAGAGAGAGAGAGAGAGAGACAACCAAGGGGGAGAGAGAGAGACCACCAAGGGGGAGACAAGGTGGGAAGATGGCTCTGCTCAAGGTCTACTTGGTCCTGGAAGGTAGGCGAGGAGCAGCCAGGGGAAGATGGGGGAAGGGATGATGATGATGATGATGATGATGATGATGATGATGATGATGATGATGATGATGATGATGATGGAGGAGGAGGGTGCCTCAGAGTCACTCCTGTTGGGAACAGGGGGAGGAGGGAGGGAAACTGTGGAAAGCAGCAGTAGCAGCAGGTCCACAGGTCTGGGGGGGTGCAATCTTTGCCTTGACCTCCATGCTGGCAACCCAGGCTACACCTCTGGTGGGAGAAACCATTCTAATCTGCAACATCAGTCCTGCCATTAAACACACAAGAGACTGGCTCCTTGGAGCTCTTTTGTTTCGTTTGTTGTGTTTTTCTGATATTCATTCCAAAGTAGCCTCAAGAACCCATTCTTAAAAGGCCTACTGTATATAGAACACATTTCTACTGGATCAGAATAGCACTGTGGACTCTTGTGTAGGCAGTCAGTATGGTGAAAGACTGAAATAGGTAAAAGAGACCATTCTACCTCCTCTCTGAGTTCCTCACGTTCGTACCTCCTGAAGGCACAATAGCAAAAGTATAAAAAAATAATTAAAAGAAAAGGCAGAGACTGCTCAACTCCTCCCTCCTTTTTTCTTGGCTTCTGAAGGTTTTTGCTGTGCACATTCTGACCACAAAGCAGCACAAATTGTGCTGGTGCAGCAAAGAATGAGCTGCACTCCTTCTCATTAGTTTCAAACCCATCCAGGACATTTACGCCTTCAACAATCCAGCTTCCTCCACTCCTGGATGTTTTCACTGGCTGCTGACAACAGCCCTTGCAATTGCCTGAAGGATTTTCTGGGTGATTTGACAGACAAAGGGTGAAGGAAAATTTTAACAAAAGAGGGAAACATGAAGAGGCACAAAAATATTCATATACCCCTCTTTCATTTTTTTTATTATTAAACTTTCTATCAGGAAGCCATGAAAGAATTGAAATGCAAAAGGAACTGCCTCTTTTGTGTTTTTTTTCCTGTTCAGTTTTAAACAAAAGCCCCATCTCTAATGTTGACATTGGCATCTATATGTCAGTAGCACTGGTGCTCATATTGGGTCTTCCACTAATAGGGTGGTGATGAGATCCCTTCAGAGGATGTGCTGTCACCCAGATGTGAAGGAAGGAACTGTAGGAGAATCAGCCCCATCAGGTAATGAGGCTGCATTGTATCCAATAGGCCAGTGGTCCCCAACCTTGGGCCTCACTGCATTGTATCCAATAGGCCAAACAGGTATATCTCCCTCATCTCTATAAAAGCTTCTCTGTCAGGGTTACTGGTCATATTGAGCTCTATGGGACTTCTTGTTGCTGAATCGTGGAGTATTTAGGGAGCCAGGGTAACCTTGGGCTGCGTAAAGAGAAGGGCGGGGCTTAGGGTGTGGGAAGTAATAGTTCCACTCTCTTCTGTATTACTCAAACGAATAAGATCTGTTAAGTCAATACTTCTGTAAGTCCCATTGAGACTACCCTATCTGGGAGTAGGGAGCCAGGGTAACCTTGGGCTGCATAAAGAGAAGTCAATACTTCTGTGAGTCCCATTGAGACTACCCTATCTGGGAGTAAAAACTGTTTTTAGACCACTGTGTTCAGCTTTGGTTGCCATATTTTATGAAGGACATTGACAAGTCAGAGTGCATCCAGAGAAGAACAATCAGGGTGGTGAGGAAAGGGTCTAAAGTCCTATGTGGAACAGCTGGAGTGGCTGGGTATATTTACTCTGGAGAAAGTAAGGTTAAAGGAGGGCATGGCAGTGGTCTATAGCAATGGTCCTTTGGGCCTCCAGATGTTTTCGGACTTCAACTCCCAGAAATCCTGGCCAGCAGAGGTGATGGTGAAGGCTTCTGGGATTTGTAGTCCAAGAACATCTGGAGGCCCAAGGTTGGGGACCATTGGTCTATAGGTATCTGAAAGGCTATCATAGAGAAGATAAGGTATAATAGTTTTCTGTTGCTCTGTAGGATAGGAGTTCATCCACTGGGTAAAATTTTCAAGGAAGATTTTTTTCACTGAATATTAGGAGGAGCTTCCTAACAGCAAGAGCCCTTTAGGAGTAGAACAGATTGCTTTGAGAGCCTAGCTGGTCCTTCTTAACTGGAGATGCTTAAGCAGAGAGTGAGTCACTGATTGGTGATGCTATACTTGTACCCTGCACTAAGCAAGACGTTGACCTATGCTTTGTCTTGAGCTGTTGTGAGACTGCACAAGAGCCCTGTCTGACCCTACCTGAGATTCATCATTATAAACAAACAGATGTAAATCCCCACTTGTCACCTGCATTGCATACAAGCGAATGACCCTCTCTCCCCACTCCTGGTACCCAATGGTGACAATAATGCACTTTTCCTCCTAAGCATTGCTCAGTCTCATAGAGGAGAGGATTCTAAGAAGTCCATTTTTTAAAAAAAGAACCACAATCCTCTTAAAATGTAAGCAGGCACTCACTGTAAACATGCACTGTTTCCACTGAAGATCTGGTGACTGGTCCCAGAACCACTGTACAGTTCAAAATGTGGTTTCCTGTTGAAAAGGAGGACAGATGAACCTGGGCTCTCATGGTGTCATCCAACACACTGATGCTGAAGTTCAGTTTCTCCTCTGCAAAGGTCAGGTCAAATTGGGCCTCCTTGGCTGGGAAAACCCCAACGACATCACACTGCACAGTCGTGCTGCTGTTGGCTTCTATGTAACGCAAAGTATGAAGCTGGGGATCCATTGGAAAATCTGTAAGACAAAAACTACAGGGTGTTCATGGAGCATCGGTCACACTGGAGAGCAGAGACTGGAAATGCTACCTTTGGAGGAAAGGTGACAACTTCCAGATTCTCTGAACCACACTGGCAAAAAAAGAGAGTATCTTTTCTAAACTTTGATCTAGCCACAGAGTTTTTGAAACTATTTCTATACCAAACAAGTCTCTGGAGACTCAAGTTCTTTGTAAGTTCCCTTCCTTGAGGATGGAGGGGGGAAAAGCGGAAGTACTGTCTAACCGTTAATAAACAATAATCTTAGAAGTGCAGAGCTGGCAAGGATCCTATGGATCATTAAGTCCAGCCCCTGTCAGGGAGGCACAGTGAGGAATAGAACTCCCAACCACTGGCTCCACAATTAGAGACCTACAGTAAACCACTGAGCTATCCAGGAGTTCTTTTCTAGTTATCCATTTACCAATAGTAGTTCTCTGGTCAATGTTTTATTTATTCAGCAAAATTGGGCCAAGACTTTCTGTTGCATGAGCTCCTGCATGCACCCCCACCCTTGTCTCCCAACCAATGCAAAGATATGTAGTATCCAAGACTGGGCAAGTTATTTTGCCATCTGAGAAGAAAATATTCCACAAGCAACCCTTCCCACTCCTTCACAGCAATCTGTTGAATCAGTTGTTTCACGCTATTCCAGATCAGTTCCCAGAGCCAACCAGCACACTCTGTCTAAAGGTAGAGTTGGCCCCATTCAACCTCAAGGGCAACATTGCTGCTCCTGTTCATGCAGGTGATAGTCTTGGCCTGATTCTGCTGTTTCCTGGGAAGGCAGGCATTGATGGAAATGCTGCTGGACTATGCAAACATACCCTCCATATATTCACCAATAAGATCTGAAAAAGCCCCAACATTTCAGTCTTCTAGGATTTCACTATTGCTCTGCATGTAGAGCAGTGGTTCCCAACCTTGGGTATTCCAGTTGTTCTTGGACTTCAGCTCCCAGAAACCTCACCCAGCACAGCTAGTTGGTGAAGGCTTCTGGGAATTGCAGTCCAAGAACATCTGGGTTACCCGGGGTTGGGAGCTACTGTTCTATATTCAGTCAAAAGAAGATATCTGTGCAAGGAACCAAACATCCAGTGTGGTGTGGTGATTTTATTGTTGGACTGGAACTCAGGAAACTGTATTCTAATCCCTGCTGAACCATTCAGCTCACTGGATAACCATGGTCCAGTCATCCTCTCTCAGCTTGACCCAACTTGGGTAAGGTGGGGAAGAAGGGATCTCACTGGAGGAATAATAAGTTATAAACCAAACATGAAACCATCTTTCATTCATGGATCTCTTTCTTTGGATTGGGAACTAGAGATGTAAACTCAATGTGCATGTCATGTTGTTTCACCACACTGCATTGCTTTCATTGGGATTCATATTTGTGAATGCACACCTCCATTCATACCTGGTACAATGAATCATTTGGTATCTACATATATCTAGAGCTGAATCTGGGCATGGACACTTTCAGAACAGAAAAAAGAAACTCCACTATGCGTAACATCCAAAGTCAGTGTGGGATAGTTGCTTTTCAGACCAGTAGAATATGCTTTTTTATAATGTCTTTTTAATAATGGTTGTTGTAGGTTTTTCAGACTGTTTGGCCGTGTTCTGAAGGGTTTTTTGTACTAACGTTTCACCAGTCTCTGTGGCTGGCATCTTCAGAGGACAGGAGTTAGAACTCTGTGCTCTGGTGTAGTGTGTGGGATAGTTGAGTATTTGTAGCTATGGGATCAGCTTTTTGTCTTTTTCAGGAGATTCAGCAAACCTGACCTCCTATGGGGACACAAAGTCTACAGAAAACCCACCCACACAGACCGATACCTACACAAAAACTCCAACCACCACCCACGACAAGAGGCATAATCAAAACACTGGTAGACCATGCAAATTGGAACTGTGAAGCTCAGTTTCTCAGCACCAGACTTAACCATCTGAATTGGGCCCTTTAGGCAAATGGCTATTCCAAGAATGAAATCACAAGAGCCATCAAACCGAGAGAACAACACTGAACTGAAGAAGAAAAACAGCCACCCACAAATAAAGTATTTCTGCCACAAATCAAATGGGTCATGGACTGCATGGGGAAACTTTTTTAAAACAACACAACCTATAAACAGTATTTAGGCCCACCAAAAAAAATACAACAAATGTTATGGTCAGCAAAGGGCAAAAGGGACTCCCTCTTCACTGCAGAAATATACCGGATACCTTGCAGTTGTGGACAGGTATATATTGGAACCACAAAATGCAGCATTCACACCAGAATCAAAGAACATGAGAGACACTGCAGACTAAAAGAACTGGAAAAATCAGCAGTAGCTGAACATGTCCTAAAACAAGCTTGACATGAAATTCTATTTCAGAAGACAGAAGTACTTAACAACAACAGCAGTCATTATGGTAGACTGCACAGGGAAGCCATTGAAATCCACAAACACCAGCAGAGTTTCAACAAAAAAGAAGAAAGTCTAAAACTCAACAATGCCTGGCTCCCAGCACTGAAAAATACAGCCTGCAAAAGATGAACAAACTCTACCCAGCCACAAGGATCAGTGATCACTGCACACAAAAGACCAGCTAAAGACACCCATCAATCATAGTGACAGATCATCATCTCCCCTTATCACAATACACTTATAACAAAAAACACCCTGATCACCAGAATCACCCAATCTTCTAAAAAAGACAGAAAGCTGATCCCGCAGCTACAAAAACTCCACTATCCCACACACTACACCAGAACACAGAGTTCTAACTCCTGTCCTCTGAAGATGCCAGCCACGGAGATGGGTGAAACGTTAGGAAGAAAAAACTTCAGAACATGGCCAAACAGCCCGAAAAACCTACAACAGCCATCAGATCCCAGCCATGAAAGCCTTCGAGAATACATTGAACATCTTTTAAATAATGTTTTTCTGTGGTCCAGCCTGATTTTGGATTTAGACTATAATAAATTCATGCACAATTCTGTTCTTATAGTAGCTTTCATTGTTCTTCTCAGCTAATATTTTGGGAGAATTTCACGGGTGTTTTTCTTTTAAATTTACATATTTACTTCTAACTTAGAAATTCTAAGGCAAGACAACAAACAAACATCAAAAGTATTTGCAACTATACATCTGTGTATGTGCACATGTACACATGTGCTGCTAACTTTTCAAACTCCGATTGAACTGCTAATGCGTTCAGGGTATGTTCTTAATGCCCAGGTGAGGTTGGGGGCAGCTCGTCTCTGGGCACCAGAACAAAGGCTCTGAGTCAACCAGCCACCACAGCTTTATTAAAGCATGGAGCTCAGAGACAAAAAAGATTGAGAGGAACAAGCAGCGTCTTTGTCACAGAGTTATTAATAGACTCTCACTTACGGGATTATAATAATTACATCTTTCCTGCATGCCCACCAGCGGTAGTATGCCTTTCCTGAGCATAGAAGTGGGAATTGGTGTTGACGGAGGAGCAGGGGGAGCAAAGAACAGAGATGCTTTTTTTGGGCAAATGATGAAAGACTTCACTAGCTGGCTCACACTGATAACTCATTAAATCCAGCATCCTGGAACTAATTAGGATTGCTCAGATGAAGGTGTCTGAGGAACAATGGCATGAAAAGGGGAGAAAGGAATTCTTATGTGGTCCGGCTTCCTGCATCCAAACCCAGTGTCAGAAGATGGGCCTGTTTTACCACCACCAGCAGCCCTCCTGCATTCATAGCCTTGGAGTGACATTAAACCAAAAGACTGCAGCTTGCAACCCTTACAGCGACTGGCAGCCCTAATTGATTGCTGCCCTTGGCCCAATTTCAAAAGCCCTCCCCTGGAGCCTAATGAGCAGAGAGGAGAAGATGGATGGTGACTGACGGACACACAGAGAAAGAAGGCGACCACCCTTGCTTTGGTTTTGACCCTACTTCCAAAAGCTTCAGCCCTGCCCACAACCAGGATGTGGCTTTTATAAGATCATTCCTGATGCTGTGAAACTGAACTGGCCTCTCACACCTCATTGGAAAGGAGGAGAAAAGAGGGCAGTTGTTTACATAAAACTGTGTGTGCTGGTTTGAACACACCCTTCAACTGGGGGACTTGTCAAATAGAGGACTCTACTCCCTAAAAGAGGACAAGTGGCCACCCTAAACACAGCCCTGAACAATTAAAAAATAAAAATAAGTAAGCCTCTCCCTATATCACGGTGCAGTTTTTGAATATGAGTACTCAAAAGTAAGTTTCACCGAATTCAGTTATTCTCAGGCAAGTCAGAGGACTGTAGCCTTAAAAATGGATTTGCAAACATGATCAAAAAGCCCCATGAAAGACCAAAAACCTGGTTGGAGTCAGGGAAAGAGCCTCGGGATGCTTAGGTAGTATTAATCCCTTTCTTTTTCATTCCAAGATGTCCAAACAGTAGAAACAAAATGAGAGCCAGAGGGTACATTTTTAAAGTGATCAGCTGATGGCATTGTGATTACTGCACTTATTTTAATGTAGGCTACCTTATTTATTTATTTATTTTAAAAGACAGATAGCTGCTGGTTCATTCTCCACCTTTCAAAATAGCTTCCCCTCCCCCTTAATTCCATTTAGAGAGGAAAACAATAGAGTTCAGGAACATCCTTTCTCTCGGACTGCAACTCCCAGCATCACCCTGCTCTCCTGAAGCTGTAATCCCCAGAAAGTGACTCACCATAGACTTTGAGGACCATGCCAAGGGATGCCTTTTCAAAGAGGTGACCTTCAGGCCACAAATCCAGAGCTGCATGGCAAGTGAGTTCCTCCCCATGGTCTTCTTTCTCAGCTGTTATTGTATGCATCACCACAACATCGGTGGCTTCAGGAGTGCTTTGGCTTTCAAAGGTCTCCACATGGAGGTCTTCTGTCCCTTGACGCAGGGTCACTGTGAGATTCCTGATGGGGGCAACGTTGGCCACCCGACATGCCAGGTTGTACGCCTTGCCTGCCTCCATCATTGGCACTGGAGCCCAAGCTACCAGCTCTGGAATTTCTGGAATGTTAAGGGGAAGAAAACAGGGATGGAATTCCAATTTTGAGGTGCCAGCTGCTCCATGCTGCAGGAGGGGGAAAGTGAATCCTCTGAAGTTTAGAGTCTAAACAGTTCAAGAGGCAGCTTTCTGTTCAGGCCAACTTTGTGATGGCGCTCATAGCATGATCAAGGTAAAAGTAATGGTGGTTTCAACATGGATGGGAAGTTTGCCAACAGTCTCAAATCCACACGACGAGTAAATGCCACCTGGGCTGACCCAAGATATTTTGCTGCTTGAGCCACAGCAGTAATGTGTACCCAAGTGACAGTACCTATTTAGTGCCTAAAGCAAACCAGGTTATTTTGACTCCTGAGACAGAAGATTACCCAAGCAACTTCCTATCCGTTTTTTAAAAGGACATTATTCATAAAATTCATAACAAACAATTTGCTGCCTTATCAGGACATCAAAGATCTGCTGGGTCTCTTCTAGCGAGGACTAAGCACTGGATTTTATTTATTTATTTATTTATTGAATGTATATGCCACCTACTCTACCCAGAGGTCTCTGGGCAGCTTACAATAATTAAAATTCAATACAATAAAAATAAAATGATTAAAATACAATTAAAATACAATTAAAATTGCCATCATCAGGACCCACAGTTGAAGTTATTTCAATTATAAGCCTTCTGGAACAGCAATAGCCGCTTCACTTGGCCTAAGGGCATGGCCAGCCCTGAGTATCCCTCCAGCTTGACAGCCTTTGGCCACTCAGTGTGGGTTTCCTTGTAGCCACTGTAGGCCTGTTGGCTTGGTGGTAGAGCCAGGTGCCCCAGCCCTTCAGAAAAGCATGCCATATATTTTTCCTTGATGGCAGCTCACATGTCAGCCCTTCTTGGCTTTACATTTCTCAGCCCTTCTACTTAGGTCACCAAATCTCGGGGTGTGAACTCAAGCTTCAGAGTCTCCAAGATGAGGAGGCAGATGAGGTGATTTAAGCCCAGCTTATTGAGGGCTTGCACTACTTATTCAGCTCCCATAGTCCTTAGGCTCTTTGACTGTGCCACCACACACAGCCAGGCTCAGTTCTCTGGATGCTCTAGTATCAGTCAATCACTACTCAATTATGGATGGCTTCATTGATGCAGGGTCACCTGCTGTCCCTTGGATGGCTTCATTGTACTTGTTTGCCTGCAGAGTGAATGTCCATGCTCTGCTCCTGATCTCACATATCTTTTGGGTGGTATCTGCCTAAGGAACTGTATCCTGCATCCTCTGTAATATTACAAGGGATTCTGAGCCACCACCACCACCACCACAATCATCATCATCATCATCATCATCATCATCATCATCATCATCATCATGTGCTGTCAAGTAAATTCTGATCTATGCCAAACCTTTCTGGGGTTTACCAGGCGGAGACTACTCAGCAGTGGTTTGCCCATTCTTTTTTTTTTGTGGG